GCTGACTCCCAGTAATTACAGGTTTTTAGTTCCTCCCCAGGCCATGGACACAGACGCGCACCTACCAGTATGTTGTCACTGAGCAGCTTCATAAACAGGGAGAACATCGATTCATTTATATTACTGAGATAAAGATAGGCTGAACAAATGGCTGGCCAGTACAAATAAGTCATTTGGCAACGCTTTCTGTTTAATGACCCTTCAAGCACAAAAGAAAACGTGGCTAGTCATAATTTTATTTTGAAAATCCAAACTAATTTGTGTGTTCCTAAATTATAAATTTGGTCAAAAACAATAGTAAAAGTTTTTTAAACCTAGTCCATTGCTGGTTCCAATTACACAGTCGAATAAACTACGTCGAATCACCTTTTAATAAAAGACACAGTTGTTGGAAATTTTTAATCCGACACTAACGCAAAATCATCAGATGACCGAACATTTCGATTCCTAATAACTTTTACCTCTGATTATTCATCCAAAGGTTAGCAGCCAATCTGCTTAGTATTCCTAAATACTGACAATAACATTATCAGTTTCCATATTTTAAAAAACAGCTTTAGTTCCTAATCTCAGCCCCTGAAATACATTTTTATAATACATTAATTTGAAGTGAAAATATTTCTTCAGAAAACTTTGTATCATTAAACTGTTCTTTTCCTTAAATTAGCTTATAAAAATCACTTTCATTAAATTCATTGTTTACCATTTGAAATCTTTACATTTTACAATATCGTCCTAATATAAAGGAACAATATACAGGTGGTATTCAAAGGTTAGTGTGTATCTGAGTATTTAACTTGAAAAATGGCACAACTCTTAACCCTGAAAATATTGAGCAGTGGAGCTAATTTTCAAATTGGGTATTGCCTTTTGAAATATAATCTCCTCTACATTCAGTAATACCTGAAATGAGGTGGTGGTGCTGGCTGGAAAGTCCATTATGGTCCAGTCCTGGCTTCAGCTGATTGGATCCCCTGTCCTCTGTCTGGAGGAAGTGGTGAAGGGGTCCCAGACCTCCTGCACTCAGCAGGTTTGTCTCACACACCTCCATAGCGAGTGTGTGCATGTGTGTGTGGCATTAGAGGGCAAGGTCAACCCATTTCTCTGCAAACAATCACATCACACGGGGCAAAATACATTCCAACCCCCTCCCCTGCCTCCAGTTTGTAAGGTGGCTTGATGTGGGAACCAGTGGACGTATGGCACTGGTCCAGACGGAGGCTTCTGGGTCCAGTTGAAGGAAAACCTGTTCCACATGACCATGATTTCTTATTACATGTTGCAGAGACTTTGCTTTCTGCATAGGCTTAGTTCTAATCTTCTTTAAAATCAGTGCCTCCATTTTTGATCATCCAGTGATTTAATTGTAAACTGTGCCTCCATTTTAGATCATCCAGTGATTTAATTGTAAACTGTCACACATTAGACGTCATTTTTGCTCAAAGGAAAGAGACCTCTCAAAATATACCAATCTTTACCTCCTCCTTAGGTCGTTACCTATTACTATCTACTGTAAATCAGTATACAAACATTTACAACACTGATCCGATTTATTTAATGGTCACAGCTTCTTTGTATGTATGGGCCAACTTTCCAGAGACCTTGAAAATCTCTTGAAAAAGTAAATCATCACTATAGCTTGAATCACAGCACTTTTCCTAATGGAAAATCCTAAGTATCTTAAGCTCTACTTAAGCAGAGCAAATTAGCTTTAGCTAGAAATCCTACCTGCGTCGTCCATAAACAAACAAATACTTAAGATGGAAATTAAACTTAAATTTCTTTTCCAACAATCTTCATGTTTCACAAGCAACCACGGTGTCTTGCTGTAGATTTTGTTTGGTGGCATTATCTTTAACAAATTAATTGTACCATAACACTGTAATATTTATACAAAACACGAACAACGGACACGAACATTTTTAGACAAATGGCAACTGAAAAAATGATAAAACTGGAAATCATTTCATTATTTAATTAATAGGATTAAACTTGAATTACAGTAATACAATCCACATGATTTATTCTGATGTAATAAAGTTTGTTTTCTGATTTTAAATGATGATACTATGTTCTGGTTTGGCTCCCTTTTTTCTGTCAAGGCTTTTATTTTGAAGATGTCACACTAGTGTGAAGCACAAACAAAGGAAAACATCTTATTTATTCTTTCTATAGCAACTTGTACATCATCCTTAAATTCTTTCCTTTTTGTTGTATGACAGTATGTGATTCATACTGAATAGCATTATAGCTTCTATAATACAATTCCAGCTTTATAGCATTATAGCTTCTTGGTCTGCTGTTAAAGTGAGTGTAATCCGTGGACAGCTGCTTTCTGAGCTCACTGCAACACAAACCGCATGCATGTACTCCATTCACTGTCCTGACTAGAGAGTATGGTGAATGAGATGTGGTGTCTTGCAGCCCCATCTAGTGGTTTTCTGTTGCAAACAGGGAAATAACAGTTTGGAGCAACGATGTCAAAGAAAGCACAAAATTAGTTTTCATATCTCACAGACATTTTTTTAAGCCAGAACACATGCAAGAAAATGTGCATACAGCCCCAAAACAGAGTGAACAATGACTATTTTCTAACACTTAAAATCACCGGTGTGTAAGGGCAGTCTGCTGCAGAGTCATTCATGTGGGAACATTAGCATTTTGAGCATTCGCATGACCGTTTGCCCCCAGAGCTGCCTGCCACTCACAGGTGTCAACATGTTACATGACCTTTACATTGCCTGTGCTGAAGATGACCAGAAATTCAACCTCAAAGGCATATTTCCAGACATCCATCCATTATATCTATACTGCTCATCTTGAAGAGGGCCATGGGGAGGGGCAATCGCAGCTAACACTGGGCAAGAGGAGGGGTACACCCTGGACAGGCCACCAGTCTATCACAGCGATGACACTCAGAGACAGACAACCACACACACACTCATATGGGCAATTTAGTCATCAATCAACCTAAGCTGCATGTCTGTGCACATTTATCTCTATCATTTCTATTAAAGAGAAACTGGAACCTCACCAAAAGACTCGATTGTACTGGTAGGATGTTTTAGATCAGTGATTTTTTTAAGAAGCCAAAGTGACAAATTTGGAGTTTATTTTACAGAGATACATGAAGTTACCCAGAAGCACATCCTCCATCAACTTCATTTTACTTTCTCTTTTCGTAACCTCACTGAACTCCCATCACTGTCTCCGTCTTCTGAATGTTTCTGCTTGGATTTCTCCCAGTACCTAGAGGAGCTCTCTCTTTTAACACACTGAAAAGTCATTTCTCCACAGCTGACATTTCACAGGCACTCGGGGCCTTTTTTTACCTAGGGCACAGTTTAATTTGTTCACTTTTACAGCTGCACTCATAGGCAGAGAGGGAAGTGGACAGAGGTCAAGGCAAAGTTTAAGGCAATTTACCTAATGGACCTTTGCACTGTATGTGTGAAACATTTCACTTAACACAGCCTCATGGCAGCAGATTGATGTGTGTGGGGATGTTCAAAACGTGACAGTGTTAAAGGGCAAATACATTGGCCCTGACCCTCAGCATGCTTGGCAGTTCAACATTTTTGCCCTTTAGAAAGAAAACACAAAAGTTGAAAGACAATATCATCACTTCTATCAAAATATAATTTAGAAAACTCTTCAATGTTGCTTGCTCCCATCTTGGGTGTAATATGTGGACAAACACATGGTCAAGAGTGTAAAAACTGTCCAAACAAGAAAAATAAAAAGCAACATTTAATGTACAAGAAAGAAAAACTTTGGGTAGACAAGTGCACGCAGCTTCAGAAAACATGGCATGAACATGGTACCACATCAATAAAACCTTGAGGTGAACCTGAGAAGGGTTGAGATGGCTGGTGTAACAACTCCAAGTATCTGAGGCATCATCTCAGAGGAAGTTGTAATATCTGCTGTGACAAACACTTAAAAAAACACAAGTACAAATGAGAAAAGCAAAGTGCGGAATTACTATTAAATTACCAAAAGTAGTGGCACATTTTTCCACATAATGCTGCCAATACAAAATCACATTACAAAGCTGTCAACCAGCTGATCAGCTGTACTCTGATGTTGGCAGTACATTCTACAACAAGTATCATGCTGTACTGTTATGGTACCACGTTATAAGCTAACAGAGGAGTCACAGTTGATTAAGCCAAATATTAAAAGGTTTGTGTGCTCCTGACTCCATCTTCTCTGTCTGTACAGGCTATAATAACAGAGTCAGTTGCCATGTGAGTGTGTAGGCAGGCTACCTTCCCCTAGACACCCGATTAGCTTGTAGTAATAAATGCTTGTTAATTATTAACGAAGGCAAGTTGTGTCACTGTGACAGTGTGTGTGTGTGTGTCTCGAGAAGAAATAAGAAAAAAAAACACTGTTGAGCTAAACAGAAACAATTCTTTAAAAGTTTTTTTTCTGAATACAAGGTTGAATATAAAAAAATATGGATATAAATGCCATGAAACACTTCTTTGTGAATACTTCAAGCAGGGGCGAAACACGATCCTGGTGACAGTGACACCTGGAAGCCAAGTGCAACAGACTGAAAGCATGTGCCATCATTTATAAGTCTGCATGAACAATTAACAACAAGATTATTCAAGTTTTCAAAGGAAGTTGCACTAAAAACATTCCATCGTACCCTTCACAGTCCTGTGAACAACAAACACCGTGCTTCATGGTCACTGCGAGCATCTTTCAGCTGCAATACAGCTACAAGAGCAGCAGGGAGCCCCAGTTTCGTGGTACTGAGGCAGATGGTCACAGTGCCACTTCATTAGCAGGGAATACTATTATTACCAGTCACATTAATTTCAAAGCAGGTACCAACACTTCTGTCCACACAGGAGTCTGGACAGAATTCACTGAACTAGACATCTGTGGTGCGGATGCTGTCATCATCCAGGCTGAAGGGGAAGCTGCAGCCAGTGTGAGGCTGAGGTTGAGAACGGTGCCTCCGGCGTCCGCTCGCCACATCTCCTGACGCTGTGAGGAGCCCCAGTCCGCTAGTCGAAGGTGCAGGAGACACACTGGGGCAAGGGATCGGGGTGGTGAGGGAGTTGGAGGAGGAGGAGGTGGAGGAAGAGGTGGAAGAGGAAGAGAGAGAAGGCAATGTGCGAACGGAGCTGAAAGCGCAGTCATTATCATCTGCATCCATGATGGCTGGGTCACATGGTGGCACAGGCGTCCAGGGCTGCCAGCCAGGTGCCACAGAGCAGGACTTGGCCAGCGGAGGTCTCCGCTCATCACTCTGCTGACCGCAAGATGCAGAGGAGGCATTGTGACATCGATAGAGAGAGGATGCCCGTTTAAATGAAAACCCCTGCAATGACAGACAAAAATACTACCTTTATGAGTCATCGTCAAGGGTTTACACTTTTACTTCAAGACCATTTAGCCAGAAGCAAGCAAGGACAAGAGCTCCACTGTAGGAGTCCCCAGAAGGAAAGGAGACTGAGAACAGAGCTACCTTAGGGGGGCCTCTGAAGTCCTGGATCTTCATCTCAATGTCCCTGATCCATCCATGCATCTCCTCTGGAGAGTCTGTCTGCAGATAAACATAACCAGAAGATCAAACTGTGCAGTCATTTTCACATTAGCCTTCCTTCTAGTTTGTCTTGCTGTGTTATGTAACATTTCTCATAGACTGCTGATCTACTTTAAAAACTAAGTCTGGTGACATGTGTTCTTCCCATCAACAGATCTCATGGGAAGACCAAAACCAGCAGTGAATTTATCCCAACAAGTATTGGTTGTGTAGCCATAGAGCTCCGTTGTTGTGCTCCACCGACTATTAAAACAAATCAATTAACCAGTGTTGCACTGAGTGACACATTATTTATTGTTTATTCTAACCCCTGTGTACACTGTCCTGGTACCATAAATACTTAGCAATCAACAAACATGTATTTGGTTTTAAGAAGCAGTTGAAGACACACTTTTTTTTTTAGACAGGCTTTTAGTTGATTTTTAGTTTTGGTTTTTAAACATGTCTGTGCCTGATATTTTATTTTTATGTTATTTGGTTTCTGTTAGATTGTTATTTTGTTTGTTCTGCTTTTGTATTTGTTGACTTTGTGAAGCACTTTGTGATTTTATCTATGAAAGGTGCTATATAAATAAAGCTTACTTACTTATTAATCCACCACTAAAACTAGTCCACAATGTAAATACTGTTTATGCCTGTTTGAGTAATGTTTGCCAAGACCTGCACTGCCCGGAAATCAGTTAACCTACTTTTGAAAATGAAAGTCTACAGTAGTGAGCTATTTTTAAAGATAGACAGACACTGGACTTTGTTGATCCCGAGGGAAATTCGACTATGTATTTAGTATGACTCACCAGACTCAAGGCTCATTGCCACAAACAGGCTTGGAAACTTGGAAAGTGCTGAGAATGACAATGCAGATCATTTATTTGACACAGATATTGGTCATCACTAACCTTGTCCTTTCATTTGAACCCAACCTATTGGAGCTTCTCACACATACAGCCGATTACTTGATCGATAGACTGAAAGAAAATTAATGTGCAACAATTTTAAATTCCTAATTTAAGTAATTTTAAGCAAAAATGGGAGAAAAAAATCATTTTTTGCCTCTTAATTATGAAAACTAGACATTTTTCTGCATTTTGTATTAAATATTTTTTGGTTGTAGATGGCAAACAACTGGCTTTTAAAAATTGTCCTGACATTTTATTTCATTTGCTGCTATATTTAATGTGGACAAACAAAAACATACTTAACAGATTATTGAATGACAATCATCAGTTGCACCCCTAATTTATAGCTCAGTTTGTTTAAAAAAAATGAAGCAGCTGGGTTACTTCGAGGTTTTTCAGACTCTCAAATATCCATAACTAGCTGTAGTTTTAATTTGCAATTCAATTTGCATCTCCACTTTCATCTGTTTTTGCTTATGTGGTTAGTTTTTCAGTTTAAATGTTTGTCATGTTTCCCGTTTTTTTTTAGCACAGACAAAAATAAAAGCACTCGTGCTTGCAACCTCTCTGCGTCTCTCCCAGCACTTCCCATTTGATCCGGCGCTGCAGCCTCAGTCAGCTGTTCTCCCGGGGGGGGTGGAACAGGATGTTTTTGTTGTTATGGTAACAGATGGCTGTGTCCGTTTCACAAAAACAAACTTTTCATGTTCCTAATAAGGCGCTCATACCACACATCAGCAGCAGAGCATTTAGAGAAAACAACTTAGAACGTCAGGACAGATGCGCTGGGGAATATATACCTTCTGTTTTCTATCTAAAAAAATACCAGTGGGACATTCCCCTCATGAATTCTTCATTATATCAACATGCCTGTTTCAATGAACAGGGAAAAGGCATTTTACCTGAATGTAGAAAGTTCGGGAGTTGGTGATGATCTCAAACAGGTTGTCTCTCAGCAGGAGGTCCCTGATGGGTACATGACCATACAGTGAAGCATACAGTGGCTAAAAGGAGGGCTAAACGGTAGAGGTGCAACAGAAAGCTACCATCTGTTTATTTCACAAAAAAAAGTCCATATTTGGATTTGGCCTTTAAAAGGGAAAATGTGAGTCTAAATAAACGATGTGTAACCGTCACTGGTCTTGGTAGAAATCACTAGGACGGGATCTGATTAATACAAAGATGGTCTGAAGTGTGACGATCCAAAAATAAGAACCCCCCCCAAATTACCCGTGGTAATTCACTGGGCCACTTTTTAAGGACGTTATGTGTGTAGTAGGGTTAAGCCCTGATGAAAATACATTTTGTACTATTTATCAAGAAAATGAAAAACTATTGACAAAAATCTGCCCAACATCGGTCAAACTTCATCCCACACTCTGCAACAAATTTGGTGAAAACTGATGTTACTGCTATGACAGATAACCCTATGTTGAATGTCTATATATCAAACAACTTCATCTTTTAGCCTATTGTGTTTATTTTGTACCTGGCAACAATTCAGTTGCTGTTTTTACCTGTTCAGTAAAATGCTGGAATTTGATTCACACATCGACTCACCCTGACTTTACAAGGCATTCATGGACTTTGTGAATGTCCCTCAGCGGAATAACTCGGAGAGGCTCTTTATCCTGGGGCAAACACAAGCACAGTTCAGACGTGGGCAGACATAGAGCACAGTCACTCATCAGCATCAACTAGAGACAGTCTAGCTCCTCACCATCTCTGACTTGTAGTAACTGACTGCATTGTTATCCAGGGTGAAAAATCGCCTCTTCCAGCTTTTCCTCTGAAAGAAAGACACACCACATTACCATTTCCACATGCAGGTTGTTGTTTTCACACACAGTTTATCCATTTGAAGTTGCTGGGTACTCACCACATTTCCCTGTTTCACACAGTAACTGCACCTCAGGACGCCTGGCCTGCTGCTCTTCCTCTCTCTTGCTTCTGTCTCGTCACTCTCATTCTGAAACATTTCAACACGGCCGTTTTTATTATAACATTCACGGTCACTGTAACTACTATCATCATACATCTCAGCTTCCACACTAAGTGTTTGTGTGAAATAAAATGCCAGTGTCAGATAAAAACAATGGCTGACATTGGGATTAATAGCTGTCATGTCCATTTCAGCTTCCTCTGCTTTACCTGAATGGGAGTGTGCACCACCACGCCACCGATGATCTCAGCCTTGTAGGCCTGCTGTCTCTTCCCTCCCTGAGTGTCACTGATCACTGCAGTCGCATCAGACCTTGGAGGTGCAGGGCCAGACTTAGGAACCTGTGAACAGGTAGGATAGCATTATCTACTGTATATTAACCTTTGTAAGTGAAACAGATAAGGTAAAGTATGCTATTAAAAGCCTTGGTGGAGCAGAACAGCGGTGAGATGTTCCGGATGTGTGCGTTTCTGAGTGCTCACCTTTGAAAAGTTACAGAAAAACAGCTGATATAAATGGGGTAAACAAAACAATGGAAATGCGTCTCAGCTGATGCAATACAAATAAACAGCGCCACAAACTGCAGCCTCCTAAAAGTTTGTAAAATTAAAGTGACACCTCTCTAAAACAGTTTCAGTAAAAACAAACCATTTATCACCTTCATGATGGGAGCATTATTATAGGAATGTTGTATTAGACTGCATTCGTTTTAGCTGGGTGTACCTAATAAACTGCCAACTGGGTGTAGAATAAATACTGATGGACCATATAAAGTATATAACTAAAATATAAACTCCATTTAAGAGCTTCAGTTTAACAAAGTAAAAACCCAAATTTCATTACTTTTATACCCCCCCATTAACATCATGTCCATTATGCATTTAAAAAAAGTATTTTAACATTTCATTGAGGCCAAGGAAGTTCAGAAAAACTTGGCAGGGCAGCACCCCCAAAGGGGAAGTGAAAGAGAGAGTGAGCAGCTCTGCTTCCTGTCAATGTGCAGGTGAGAAAAAGAGAAACACTCTCTCTCACAGTCATCTGCCATCATAAGACATCTGGACGATGCCGCTCATGCAGGACCCAGTCATGTCTCTGAACACAAATATTATACAAATGCGTGTCACACACACTCACTCACATATATATATGTACAATGGTGTTTTGACACCTCCACCGCAGTGACGTTAGTGTCTTATCACTCATGTGCGTGCACATTCACAGTTCCCCCATTCATCAAGTGTGAAAGAGGGTATATCTGTGGGCAATGTGCTGGCATTTGTGACCACCAGGGCAAAGCTGTTTCAGCCACACCACCACAGACTGTAGCTTCCAGCACTCAGGTGGAAACAAACTGATAGTTTTGCCTTTTCCTTTTTGCACCTTTAGACATTTGTTTAGAATTTCATGCATGCTAGTGTGTGCCACACTCACAGTGATCTTGCTGGCCTTGTTGAGAGCAGCCACCCAGTCCTTCATGTCAGTCACATCATTGGCTTGAAGGAAGTACCGCCGGGAAACTGCGTTAATGACTACAGAAGTAGATTCCATCAATATCCACAGTCAGAACAAGAAATCATTTCCTGACATGTGTAAATGAAATGAATATCAGTGGGCGATATAGCGTAAGCATGACTCAGTGTCTGCTTGAAAAACTCACCAAAGCAGAACTCTGTCTTGGGCTTTTGCTTCGCTGTAGCTTCACTCACCTGAGAGGAGGAGAGGGAACAGAAGGAAAGGGGAAGAGACGGGGGGACGACAGGAGTGAAGAGAAGAGAAAAGTTCGTATCTTTGACATCTATTTGACTCAGAGTGTTCAGGGAGGAGCTGTCAGCACTACAGTACAGTGAAGCCAGATGTTATTATCTCTGGTTAGCTCAGCGAGTGCACTGACATCTGGAAAACTTCACAAAGTCTGCTTCAAGCTTTGCGCTGTGCGGGACCGTTAAATATAACTTCAGATAAGGACAAATTCTGAGTCCACACAGCTCAGACATCTCCTCTAGATAAATGTATGTATTTCACAGGACATTTTGTAACAACAACCCACACTTGGAGGGGAGAGAACCGGCAGTTTACCTTTGAGATGTAAGTTAGTTTCAGACTGCCAACATAAGTGGCTCCACTGGGCAGGTTCTGCATGCAAATACAAACACACAAACTTGTCATTGGCTCAGAGTCCAAGGTTGCAGTGCTTCTATTGGTCAATTTCACTTCCTCTTGCTGTTTGTGCAAGTGAGTGCCATGCATGTATGTGTGGAGCACCTGAGGGTTGTCCATATACCACAGCAGAGCATTTCCCTGGATGTCGAGGATGAAGTATCGTCTCTGGAAGCGGCAGCTGTTCTCCTTCTCCTCGATGTCCAGGAAGCCACACACACGGTTCAGCCTGTCCAAGTATGGCATGCTGCTGCTATCACATATCACTGGGACAGAGGGACAGATGGAAAGACAGACATTCAAGTGAGATGAACAATGAGAGGCCAACTGTAAAGGGAGCAACATAAGGAGACAGACTCACGGGACAGAAAGGCAGATACCAGCTGATGTGAAGGATTTAGTGTTCAAATACACACAAGCACACACACACATGCACGAAGAAAGAGACCAGCTCGCGCTCAGCAGTTTTTCATGTGACGTGATTGAGGCCGAGCAGCAAACCCTGAAGCCCAAGGCTGAGCTGAGGCCCTCCACCACAGCCAGAAATTATAGACTGCACTCAAGATCTGCACACATGCACATTTCCACTGGCTGGAGACAACAGAGGAGAGGAGGGAGGAGAAGGAAAACGAGGAGCGCAGGGAGGGGAATGCTGGTGAGATGTGTTCATTAAGATGATGCCATGCATGTGAATTACTGAGCTGCTGACTGACGGCAAAATCAAGACTCATTCAGCTCAGACACTCAGGTACGCCGATGATCTTTTGCTACTGCTTGCTTCTCAAGAGCATTTCATCAGTGGCAGATATCTAAATTAAAGCCATTTTTAAAAAATTCTTTGGAAGGTTTCTGGCATGGTGAGAGCTCCATGCTATAACTGTGTCCTCCTTACGCTGCTGGGGGAACTTTCAGTCCCTCCAGTTGTTGTTCCTCTTGCATCTGCAGACTGAATGTAATGCAGTCACACTGACATACTGTATGCGGTCGAATGCACTGAATAAAAAGATGCAAAGCACATTTTCCATTTCATAAGTCTTGAATAAATTGAAAGAATGTGGATGTAGTGCACTCACGAAGGTAATATATGGGCTAACTAAGCCACATCTGGGACTGTTTTTTAATAAGAGCACAAATTATAATGGAAGTGCCAGTCATTTAAGATATATAATCAGCGCTGAAATGCCGTTGACTCTGCCAATACTTTTAAAAGGACAGTTCTGTCTTAAAACCTTTTAGGAAATGGAACTTATTCCCATGACCACTCACACATAACACCTAACAATACAAAGACAAAGAAATAACAACAGACACACAGGCTGATGGTTAGCAAAAGTGTGAAACGGCCTTGAAAAAGTTGTGGGCGTCAGTTGTAAAATACATTTTTGCCATTAAAATAAGTGAAAGACACAAACCTTTCAGAAGTCCTTTGCACAAACTGTGGTTGTAATGGAAAAGTGAAAATGATGCCGCAGAGGTCACACAGATACCAATGATACCAACACACACACATGCTCACAAACACACATAAACCATTTTTAGGTATCAGAAACATCTGTCTTAACCATTAAAGGGAGAAGCAGTGGCAAGGCTGTGGCATCGCTGGCAAAACTTTACCATAGACGTCATTTAGACAGTCTTCAGTGCTGATTAAAAGGGTTATAAGAACAACTCACTGATGTACTTCAGGGGCTTGTGATTTGTGTCACGAGGTCAGGGACGTGACAGATCAACAACAGAATTGTCAAAACTGATGTATCTGAGGCTGAATACCATGCATGAGTCACATTCCAAAGAATCTCAATCCTGTGTTTCCTTGAATGCAACTCAGAACTGCAGCATCTTTTGTGCTTAAAACATCAAGACCAGGACTGTTCTCACTGGCTAAATAGTACTCCCCCCACTCCCGGTGGTTAACCTTTAACTGAAAAGACTGACCAATTGACGGAAAATGATTTGTTAACAATTTGAATAATTAAGTTTCAGTCACTTTTTAAGCAAACGTTCCCCGTTTCCAGCCTCGTGAGGGTTGGCTAACAACAGTGGATGAATACTGATGCAGAAACAACTAAGGGTTTCTTCAATGTAAAGCTGATTTTAACAGCATCATAAATGTTCAGCTCCTTAATCTATAACACTCTCATATTTTTAGGAACTGTATGAAAATTATTGAAAATGAAAAGGGGACAAATAAAATGGAGGGTGTTGCTGAAAAAAAGAGCAGTGAAGAAGCAGAAGAGTTTAATGTTTGGGATACACTATTTCACATTTTTAATGTGAAACATGGCTGTTTTATGGGTAAATTGCTTTTTAAAACACTGAGCCACAAGGTTCAGCCACCTCTGATAATTTTGGTACACTCCCTATAAACACATCATTTGTTTTTCATATAAAGTCTTGTTCTTAAAAGTAACTAGGCAGTAACATAAATGCATTGGAGTAAAAGTAGTATATTTCATTACGTGTAGCATATAATAAAACTATTCAAAATACCCCATAATTGCACATAAAAGTGAATATCTTTTAGCTTTGGACTGAGTTAGACAGAAAAAGCACTGTCTAATGTTACTTGAATCTCGTCTGTGTTTATCACGGCAGCAGCAGAGCAGACAGAACCACTGAATGACAAGTATGGTAGTCATGGGCGTGCATGTACAACGTGATTATGAGCATGCAAGGTAAAGTTTAAATGTGATCAAAATTACTCAGCAGCACTTGACACGCATTACATTTGTTCAGCTCAGATGACCTGCACTGACTCACCAGGTCCAACGACTCAGCGGCCTGCCACACCTTCCATAGGCTGCTGTACCATCCGTACACGTATCAGATAGACAGGCATGTGGCAACACACACAAACACACGCACACACAGTCACAAAGTGCCAGCTTCTACTGGCGACTTACTTACCCGCTGTGGAGACTCAGTGTGCGCCACAGCCAGCGCCCCGCACGGCTACGAAGCAGAGAGGAGGGGCCCGAGTTTGGAGAATACGACCATGGCAGACTAAGTTTTAACAACTTTTACAAACAGCACAGTGCTACAAAGCCGGCATGCACCTGGCTCTCACACTATTTGTTTGTGTGTTCGGATTTCAGAAGACTTGTCTTCTTTCCGGGTTGGACGTTTCGTTATGAGAATAAACCAGCCCCGGATGTGATCTATGCGTCCTCCTTCTTCTCTAGGGGAACTAAACAGAGGAACTAAACAGGGGCTCACCAGTTTTATACTGTCATTTCACCAAGGTTAGCGGTGCAGCTTTGGCTTCTTGCACGTTTCTTTGACAGTCTGGGCTCTTTTTACTAGGCCTTAGTCAGAAAACAAAAAGCACAGTAGCTTATCTGCCTCCATCTGCATGCGATATGTTATCGCACCTTTTCTCAGACTGCAACATGAGAACTGGGTTAAACACAGACGCGCACACGCAGTGCGTTCATATATATGAGCAGCTTTAAGAGAAGGGAATGTAAAGCCAGATAAACAGGAGCACAGTGAACAATAATAACATACAGACACCTGTCATGGGAGCTGGCAGGTGCACAGGAACAGGACTCCAAGAACAATTTCTCTGAAAGCAGGGCCTGGATATTAGAATATTACCTTACACATTTTTGAATTTTTGAGCAGCCACCAAAACAAACCTTATATAAAGCCCTGAGCATTTCAAAATGTGACATATTTAACATTTTCTTCACCTTTCTACTGTTCATTTATATTTTTGTTGACTGGTATGTTCTTTCTAAATGTCTGCATTGTCAGGTGTTTATGGTCAAGAAATGCTAAATAAACCCTTTTAATTTCAATTTCTATCATTTAATTGTGTAGTTATTGTAGAAACTCCTCCTCAGGCCATTAAATAGGCAACTTAGACATGTCCCAAACGAAAGTTTCCAACTTAATGGCTCTTTACATAACATAAATAAGAAGATACTGGCAGTGTTTAATATAGGAACATTTGGAAGGTGAGGTTTTGTTATAGGCTGTTATGTATTTTTATAAAATTGTACCAATTTGTAGGTGATCCAGGTGGTGATTTGAACTTCAGAAGGTATCTTATTTTTGAGTTTATCTTAGGTTGCAAAAAAGCAACATCAAATATTTTACTGTGCAAAAAGTACAGCAGTACTAGTCTCACTAAATGTAAACCACTTCAACTGTTAGTACTTCTTTATTACAGTATTCCAGTGTTTACCAGAGATGAGCACAGTCCTGACAGGACAGAGGATGAGCTGCCCTGACCTCCTGGTTTCAACACTTCATGCTTAGTCAAAAGTCTGGGGTTAGCGGTTTCCTCTGTGTTGAGCCTGCCTCCTTCATAGGTGCAGAAACACCAAATACCTGCATCTGTTTTCTTTCATTTGCTAAAAATTTGTGTCCTCCTGTTAAGAGGAAGTGGTTACATGTCATATGACCTGCCTGAGGACAGAGACCTACAGCACCTCGCTGATTTCATATCCTGTGGTGACTGCAGAGGATTGAAGTTACACGGTTGCAGAAGGAAGTCTTGAAGTTTCCACAGAGCCCATGTTTCTGCTGAAAGATTGTTTTTTCTACTGTACATTTGCCTCTACATGTAGGCTATGTTTTTACATCAGGGACATTACCATGAACACACATTTCTTTTCTCCCACATTTAAAGGTCATGTGTAGGATATCAAATGCCAAACCAAGGTGAGCTTACCCACACACAAACACACACTGTACACACACAGACATAATGGTGTAATTATATCTTTATTCAGACAAGGTGAACAGACAAAATGATTAAATCACTAAACACATCATTGCAAATGTTTTTAAATGTAAATATTATAGTATTAAAATGTTCAGTTTTCTTTTGCTTTGCCATGTCAACAGCAAATGCGGATAACGTGGGTCTATGGTGTTGAGTGAGCGGTGCCCTAATTACTCACAGAGGCACCTAACAAAAATACACCAGGGTCCCATTGGCCAGGCCAGAGCTGTGAGTAGGTGTGCTTCACTTTGCACACATTATTCACCATAAACACACTTAGGTTCACACCTTGCTTTACATTACTTGAAAGTGAGCATACCACTACAGTTAATGAAGATACTATTATTAGGTGACAGTTTCTTTTTTTAAAAAGAGACAAACATGATAAAAGCAAAGATGCAGACTGGTTCAGTGCATCAGCTCAGCTATCAGAAGCACTCATTAGATATAACACTTGTTTTCGCCCCAGTCTCAAACCACATGAACCTTTCTGCAACTCAAATCCTATTTTAAAAACTTGGATGAAAATAAGTGTCTCTGGACAGATGGATTACATGACAATAAACAGATAAGGAAGAGGTGATGAATCCCCGGATGAGTTTACAGCTGACTGAAGACCATACGTACTAGCAGGGCTGTGATCAGTGGGACGGGGCTGGAACCCAGAGCCCCTGCACCATTATGATGGTAATCCCCGTGGCTGTGGCTCCTGTGGGGGCCGTTACAGTTATCGCCAAAGCAACACTCCATCTTGGTTCCAGAAGTGGCACCACGTGCTTTGTCGCAGAAAGCCTTGTACGTGCATGACTTCATCACGGTGTCTGAAAGAGCCAGGGTGGAGCGTGGGCGGGTTGGGTGCAAGGCCAGCAGACATTCATATTTAAATTGCTTTGAAGTGACTGAAGACTGAATCCTTGTATTAATTTGGAATGATGCTGTGAACCCAATGAACTCCCTCCCTACTGCCACTGCTGCATTATTAACACTGACTTCACTTTGTCAGTGGAGACCAGATGGAGAATGTAACTGCCACCTCACACAAGAGAGTTGTCAGTCCGATACTGGCCTCTAGTGAGATTTTTGCACTACTGTGTCCTATACTCCTGTGTGTTTGCATGTATGTGCTTACTCACTAGGTCCCATGATGGTGGAGCAGGCATCAGCATACTGAGGACAGGAGTTGGAGCCCTGTCGGTTGCAATCGTCCTCATTGGATGCCACACATGTGTGACATTTGAGGGTGTAGTCTTTGCAGACAGAACAGGAGAGAGCACCTGACTTGAGACTAAGCATGTATGCTCACAGGCAGGTGTGTGCTCTTATTAGTCCATCCACCCCACTATGCACACAGTGTTGCAGGTTCATTTAGTAGACATACATACACGACCTTCTGTCCCCTCCTCAAATTTATGACTCAGACACATTTCCAAGTTATAAATGTCACAACAACTTAGTATATAGATTTTGCCTTCACATGATCTAAATTTATGTCTATTGTTTTTCTGAACTTGCTGGTTTAAATCTATGACAGACTTATCTGGAAGCTGTCCCAAACTGTGCCTCAGGCTAAAACTGCTCTGCTGCTGAGGAAATTAACAAGTCTGCTTTGAGGAGAGAAAAGTCCTGGATCTTCTGTATCACAGTGATTTGTCTGACTATTACTAATCACCTAAACCCTTCTCCATCGCCAGAAATATCCAAATCTAGCATTGGTGCCGGTATTGTGGACACTTACTGTAGCAGGCCAGAGAGATGAACAGTAGTATGGTGAGAGCAGTCTTCATGGCGCCTGGCTAATGGGTCACCGTCTTCAAGAGCTGAGGAGTCTCTGATGAAGGGGACACCTGGAGCTGAGGTGGAGGAGGAGAGGCTTTAGGCATGGAAGGTGTCTGAGGGTATTAAAGTCTTATCTGTGTAATCTCCATCTATGCTGCACAGCCAGCATCCTGAAGTAATAGACTTAAATGAGCAAGTCTTTAACAGGGAGACAATAACAGTTCATTGTTGTAAAGCCATTAGTCTGGGGTTTAACAGACTTCTGTAGTCATTTATTTTCAAAGTGTGGGCACAGAATGAAGCTGAAGCTGCTGGAAAGCTCAGTGTCTCACATGTGAAAGGCATCGTGACCTCAGTTTGGGTTTGTGTGTGTATAATGTATGATGTAAGAATTCATACAGCAATCAGGAAGGGTGCCACATCAGCTGTGAACCTGTGGAACTGTTAAAACACAGTAACGAGACAAAGTTATAGAACAAATTATACTGTATTTATGTTTATTCAGCAGCTCTACACACAGTCCCCAATGTATCAGTACAAGTGTGAGACTGACATGTATAATTTACAAATTCAAACTGAATAATATTTTATAAACAACAAACCAGCTGTGTAACAAGAGGTGACAGGACATTAGAATGGCACAAATATAAACAGCAGCATGTTGGTGGGCTTGTGTCAAAAGTGGATGCACACAGTGGTAAAGAGGCTGGACATTCAAACTTTACAAATGACTGACTCCACTGAAGTGATTAGTGAAAACTATAAAGTAATACAATTAGAACTTGTTTCAGTTTCTTTGTCCAGTCCATGATTCCTGATTTGAATTGCATACTGTTTTGTATTGAGGCCAAAAATGTGGCTTATTTTGTTGAATGGAAAGAAAATGTCTTCTGTAGAAAAAAGCTAGTATTTAAAAAAATGAATTTTAAAACCAGAACCAGTAATTAAATATTTTCACTGATAATCAAGCCACTAAGTCCCAGCCTAAGTTATTACTAAAGCCGTGTGCTGGAAACATCTATGAAACTTAACATGCAAAGAAACAGATTTATGTGTTGCACAACTAGTGCACTGCTGTAAATCCAGAGCTCATGACACACGCAGTAAGCAGCAGACAAAACCTTCCAAAGCTGTCAAATTCCTTATTTCCTTTTGCAGTAAGCATCAGACAAAACCTTTTACAAAGCTGTCAAATTCCTTATTTCCTTTGTGGTAAGAGGTAAATGTGATTAAAAAACAGAAGAACTGTTGACACATTGGAGCACTTGCATTGCTAACTGTGTTTTAATTTGATCAAGATGTTCAGGACACTTATCACAGAATAGTTAATGTACACTGGTTCAGATGATTTCGGTCCCTCTCTGTATTGATTTTGTGGATTGGACAAGACAATGCCATTAAAGTTCATACATCACAGTAAAGTCTAGGATTGTCAGGGTATTACACACCTCTGTGACTGACACACACCATGTAGTTACTTCAGCTGTTCAGAATCCCAACTATGTCGTAGTGTAAACAAGGTAAAGCAAACACTGTGAATGTTTTACAGCTGCAGCTTCACTGACGTGGTCGAGACTCATTCTGGTTTCAGTGCTGCTCTTGAACAAGGACTACTGTATTTCCTCAAATAATCTTAAATCCTCCCCCCCCCGTGAAGCTTGAGTTTAACCCTGACCTCACTCTGCCCCACAATTCCCCTGAGCTTCTCTCTTCTTGTTTACATTATAAAAATTTATTGATGGATTGTTGCTTTAATGTATCTCAATACTCATCAAAACCACATGAAAGAACAAGCCCAAATGTAACTCTATAACAGCTCTCCAGCCTGCATTCAATCTGAAGTCATCCCACAAAAGGAATTTCTGGGAATTTAAACTGATAAACTGCTGGGAATTCAAGTTGAGTCACAAGCATGTTGTTGTTCACTGGCATGATGGACAAAAGTGCAATGGGTCCAGATGACCTCATAATCAGAACTAAAGACAAACGAAGCGGCCGCATATAACAAAGCCCCAACAATGACTGACATGTACAGAACCTTCTTGAGTCAGGTCACATGTAGTGCAATCGTAGTGTAGAGAACTTAGACATCTGTACATAAGCAGCTTCTGAGATGCAGGGTTGGCGCATGGTATAAGATCTGCGTCTTGGCTGGGGGCATGCACTTGATGTCACTGTAGGCAGGACGAGAAGGCAGGGTGGTGGCTGATTCACAGGAAGTACTGTTCAGTCTATTTTTCCCATTTTGGCAATCAGCTCGTCACAGATCTTAGTGAGCTCTTCAATTTCTTGATTCTATGACAACACAGCAAATGAGTACATTTAATTCACATCTATATACTAAATTACAGCACTAAGACGCAGAAAATCTGTCTCATCATGTATTATAAGTATGCAGAAAGATGAGGATGTCTCTGACCTTCTGCTGCAGAGCGTGTTCCAGAGATTCATTCCTCATCTGCTCCTTCCTCAGGCTGGCGGTCAGCGCTGTGTTCTCTGAGCTCGCCTTCGCACGCACCTGAGCGATCTCCTCATTGGCCCTTGCAGAGACATGGAAAAAGGGAAATAAACATATAGTTCATACCTGACTGACTTGCAGTCAGTCTCTACATACTTGTCTAGTTTCTCCTCAGCATGGAGTTTAAGTGTCTGGTATCTCTGCTCCTCCTGCTTCACTCTGGTCAGATACTCCTGAGCACACTTCTTCAGCACCTCTTCATTCTGTTCAAGGAAACCGAGAACAACTGCCGTGTTACCTGGCATCACCCTTACACAGAGAAAGCTGATGCAACATTGCGTCTCCTTTCATAGTTCTAATATTTGTCCTATCAAGTATCTAATTTATGCATTTGAGTCTGAAGCGGTGGCAATTCTTTTAACCCTTTCTTATTTTTTTTTCCAAACATTGTAGTTCTTCTGCTTCTAATCTTTCTGAATTCCTGTAGTTAGACAAAGTCACACATTTACTCCTGGAAGCTGCTCAACATAACCACCACAGCTGTTCCAATAAGCAGCTGCTCGGGTCAAGTTGCTGGTCAAATGGTGGTCAAAATTTGGGCAGAAATCAAGTGGGTGGGGAGTGGGGGTGGTATTTGTTCAGTGAGAGAACTATATCTGAGGGCCAGATTTATCCAGTGACCTTCAATTTAAACCAGTTGCTCTCACGACCACTTCCCCTAATCATAGAATACCTTCCAAACGTAGTCTGACCAACTATCTGCCGATCATCACCTAAAGCAGGCACTTTCCACAAGTGGTGATCTAGTCATGAACCTGTGCCCTTATGAATCTATGGCCCCTTACCCTCTTAAAGCCCTCCAAGGTGTTCTTCATAGTTTCATAGCGTCGAAACATATCAGACAGGGAGCGCTCCACGGAGGTCAGGTCTGCTACAGCGGCTTCCTTGTCCGCCATCACTGCATGCAAGGCCTGCTGGGAGCTCTGCTTGTTGCGCTGCTCGTCTTCTGAGAACAGTGAAGGAGATGATTGTGGAGTGATAAGTAACTCATTTCATGTGCTCAGTCTGCTAACATTGAATGTATGACACATTTACCAAACAAAAAGGGATACATCTAAAAACAAATCACAGTGTTGTCCTAAATCACTACAACAAGCAGTTAAACGTATAGTTAGATGAAAAATAAAAGTCTGTTCTGTACATCTGACCCATCAGGTCAAATGTTTTGGTAGGCTGAATCTTCTAACACATCAACTCACCGATCATTTGAGCGATTGTCTTCTCATATTCTGCAACTATCTTCCTGTAATAAGACAAAAAACATCATGGGTCTTACTTAGCTTAATGAGTTGTTGTTTATAAAGATCATATTTACATAACCAATAAATCTGGTTGACTGTCAAAACCTCACGTCCGCCCACAAAGTGAAGGTCAGTTGTCTATGATAGTTGAGTAAAAGGCACTGCAGCAACATGTTTTCTGACCTCATCTCATTGACTTCTTGTCTGCTGTCCTCGTACTTGCTCTTCCAGTCATTGACTTCCACCTCTTTAGTGATGATCTGAAAAGAAATTCTGACTGTGAGCAGAACTGTGCATATGAACAAAACCTTATGGAACGCACAATCTGAAAGCAAACATTAATGAGCGTGCACCTCCTCCCTAATGAGGGTGAGAACGGCCTGTTTTTCTGCCTCACTGATGGAGATGGAATCCAGGACCGGACTTCTTGTTTTCTGCACTCCACTTCCCTCCGACTTGTTCTTTGGTTTGTATGTGTCCTCGTACTGCTGAGAGCAGAAGAAATTTAAGAATTTATAAGGTGTTCATGATTATAGCAAGTAGCATTCTGCAATACTGCCACAATACTGTCAAAACTATACCTCTTACTCTAAGAAAATCTCATTTTTCCTCAGTTTTCCCCCACACTGGTTTGTCGTCTTTTAATATTTGTCCAAATAATTTCACGGCAAACTTTACAAATGTTTCTTTCATGAGTATAAAATACATAATTTTCTGCTTCCATTGTTTTATATATACTATACTTTGCTCTCTCTCTCTTTCTAAATGTGTGCTTTTTCTTTATCAAACTTCTCGTACCCATCCTTACTTTCAGCCGTCATTCTCACACATCACTATCTTCTTGTCCTCCCCTGTCTCTCTCATTTTGTCCTTCCCTGGATTATAAGAGTCATACTCTAATCTCCCAAATGATAATCTAAATCCATCCGTCACCCGAGTAGATGAACATAGTGGCAGAGTGGCACCAAGTACCTCCTTCTGTCCTACAGCACAGGAACGCACTCATCAAAGAAGTGGTCATAATGCAGGTTTATATACTCTACTATATATTACATCTTTAAATCCCAGCACAATTTACTTAACATTTTCTCATTTACTGTGTAAATGAAAAAATGTTTTTTTCTCTGCTGCTGATGGCAACAGTTCAGTTCGATGAACAACAGTGTTTCAGCCTCACCTAGTGGTCACAGGTGGTGTAGCCAATAAAGAGTAATCTAAAATCTAACAACATACATGATGGTGAACCACTGTGATGTCATATTAACAGACTATGTG